TGTTCTCACAATTATTATGTTTTGCCTGTTATGGCACACATCCAGAGAACATTAATGTTCTCACAATTATTATGTTTTGCCTGTTATGGCACACATACAGAGAACATTAATGTTCTCACAATTATTATGTTTTGCCTGTTATGGCACACATACAGAGAACATTAATGTTCTCACAATTATTATGTTTTGCCTGTTATGGCACACATCCAGAGAAAATTAATGTTCTCACAATTATTATGTTTTGCCTGTTATGGCACACATACAGAGAACATTAATGTTCTCACAATTATTATGTTTTGCCTGTTATGGCACACATCCAGAGAACATTAATGTTCTCACAATTATTATGTTTTGCCTGTTATGGCACACATACAGAGAACATTAATGTTCTCACAATTATTATGTTTTGCCTGTTATGGCACACATACAGAGAACATTAATGTTGTCACAATTATTTTATTTTGCCTGTTATGGCACACATCCAGAGAACATGTTTAAACTTGTATTGGGTATCCACAGTTATTAGATATGATGATGGTCGAAAAAGAGCCATATTAATTGACAAATTAGCCGGGTACTTATTCCAATCCTATTACAAATTAAAGTAAATCATCCCAAAAACAAAATAATGAGTTTTGAATGCCTGATTCTAAATCAAAACTGAAACATGTGGATTCATTTCCTCGTCAAGTTATTCTACCTGAGCAGAAGAAACGGGAATTTCCGAAATGATTGGTCTAACCGCCATTTTGAAAGATATCCAAACTGACGTAAAGGAAAGGCTTTTTTCTTAAGGTTATAATTTTGACTCAAACTGATATTGATTTAGTTATCTTAACCATATTAGATAATGTCGCATTCATGTCAGAGTGGCCAGCCATCTATACATTTACAGACACTTTGTAACATTTATGATGCTCTTAAACAAATAGAAATTCTACACAAAACATTCGAAGCAAATAAAACCAGGAAATATTGTTGATTGTAATTTGATTTTGATTGGCTTGCTACTGCATGGTAATAAGGAGAAGAAATTCAGCACAAATGCAAATGTCCTACATTATTCTAAAGTTATAACATTATACTTATTTGAAATGTCTCATCACTTATATGGACACATGACAAAGAGTTATACATTTCACATTACTGAGAGAGTTGCACTGGCTGCCGGTGCGTGCTCGCATAGAGTACAAAATCGCAACTTTGTGCTACCGCTTCTTACATGACCTGGCGTCGTCCTATCTGAAAGAGCTGCTGACGCCTTATGTACCCACTAGACGACTCCGCTCATCCGATAGTGGCAAAATCTCGACACCACGTGTTTGCCTTGAGACTTACGGAAAGCGCACTTTCGCATTTGCTGGTCCAACAATTTGGAACGCCCTTCCAGTCGATCTCAGAAACAACCAAACACTGGAGTCATTTAAAACCGATGTAAAGACACATCTATTTCGCAAACACCTTCTGGGATGATTGTCTACCTTATTTTACAGCATAATGGCTGTGTTGCTTATAGTTGAAATGGCTAGAAAAACTTTGACATTGTGTGCTTGTAATTAGTTTTTGGAGTATTGCTTTTGTTTTAAATGTAGAAAATTATAGATTTGTTTTTTGTTGACTTTGTACCGCGCTTCGAGCCTTTGGGGATGAAGCTTGTTTTTGAAATGAACTTTATTATTGTTATTATTTATTACTTACATGGTAACATGACATAAATTTCACATTACTTACATGGTCACATGACAAAGAGTTATAAATTTCACATTACTTACATGGTCACATGACAAAGAGTTATAAATTTCACATTACTTACATGGTCACATGACAACGAGTTATAAATTTCACATTATTTACATGCTGACATGACAAAGAGTTATAAAATATACATTACTTACATGGTCACATGACAAATAATTATACATTTCACATCACTTACATGGTCAAATGACAAAGAGATATAAATTTCAAATTACTTACATGGTCACATTACAAAGAGTTATACATTTCACATCACTCACATAGTCACATGACAAAGCGTTATACATTTCATATCACTGACATGGTCACATGACAACGAGTTATAACGATGCATCCGGGTATGGCCGGTTACAAATATTTACATCGTAGTTACAGATAAATTTATTTTTTTTATTTATCTTTCCGAAACGAAAAATAAGTTTTTCCGTTAAAAAAAATGATTATTTTCATAGTATTTTTCCACAAACTTAATCCTTGATCGATATGTTTATAAAGTATTGTCACACAAATGTTTCAGTAGAAATGAATGCTAGAAATCCAGGCATGTATCCACTAAATCAAGGGAACGTGTACAATCTCTTGAAAAATGTTACTTTTCTCTTGTAGCTCATATATTTTTCCTCTACAGTGACATTTTTGTAGGTTCTTTGGCAAAGGACACATTTCCGTTGTTTGTACTAGATGAAAATTTTCTGACATAGTTTGTTTCACTTTTACTTTGTATTCACTTTAAAAAGCTGATTTCTTATGACTACTGTTAAAAACACAGACGACTGATGACTACTATCACAACAACATACTACTGATAATAACAGCAAAAAATTAAAGATAACTTCTCGTGTAAAATGATACTACTGATAACTACTGGTGTTATAGGCAGATTAAATGTATAATATTAAAATAGCAGAATCTACGACTATAACAGAAGACTAGTGACTACTACAAATAAAAAGCACATGAATGTACATACTGCAATGTCTACTGTGTCCATCAACATGGTTAAATACAAATATATATATATTTATTTTTAAAAAAATAAGATATTGAGACTCAATACCAGTAAATTGTTAACATGAGAGAAAAGAAAAAAAATCGATATATTTTCTTTTTCTTGTTTTGTTCTTGACATCCATTCAGTTTGTAAAATAGTTCAGGACTTTTCACATTGTTTTTATTGTAACACCATTTAGTTCTTCGCTCTATTCAATTAATGTCATTACAAAAGTAATCATGTAACTACTCAACAAAATGATGAACATTGTGTCATATTTGTAAACAGCATGGCAAGTGAACGTCAAGGCGACAATAGATTTCTTAGGATTCTTAAAAAACAGCTGGAAACTCTTAGGGAAGAGAGCAACCATCTAGAGGAGGTGGTGGACAGTTATTTCAAACAGGCAAGTTTATTTTATTTATTTTTTCAAATTGTTTACAACTCATCCTCGTTTGGTTCTAATTTAATGGTATAAATCGTAACACGTTAGCTTACTGTTTTAATTAAACGAAATACTCCTACACACATCGATCGCTAAAGATAAACTCCTAACACATACACTTGTTTGTTCATATTCATATAACGAAGGGTACTGAACTAATATTATCCCTTATCTGGGGCTTGGGGGCTCCATTTCATTTTTCCCAATATAAGCTAATATAAATAGCGATAGGCTTAAGACTCCTAAATGAATAGATGGATCTTGACCAAACTTAATACACAAACACTTGATTTTCCATATACAAATACCGAAGGGTACTAAATTCATAATATCCATTCCTCTTGGGCCGTTGGCACATATCATTTTTCCTAATATAATATTTATAAAAGTCAATATGCTTAGACAACACTATTGGTTAATGTGAAATGATGAATCTGAGCCTAGTTTGTAGATATATCCTTTATTGTCCGTATTGAATATTCAATCTAGATATGTCAAGAAAGTTGGAAAACTTTAAACTGCTAATATATGTTGGATTATTAGATATATTCTAATGGGACAAATTTTAAATTTAACTCCAAAATTTATCTGATTGATTTGAAAGCCCCCCCCCCCCCCACCCCCCAGTTGGAAAACTTTAAACTGCTAATATATGTTGGATTATTAGATATATTCTAATGGGACAAATTTTAAATTTAACTCCAAAATTTATCTGATTGATTTGAAAGCCCCACCCCCCCCAACACCCCTTCCATCTCAGAAATAACATATTCGGTACAATTATGAAACGGAACCCCGCTGTGGCCCCTCTTACAATAAAAATGTACTATAATTCTAGTAATACATTTAGTTGTAAAATGTTTCGTAGCCTATACGAAAAATAATAAAATAGAAAATACATTTTTACTCATTTCGAGGAGTATATTAAATTTAATCTAGAAAGTTCTAGAAAGTCATTTTTTGTTCACGGGGAATTAGAATGGTATCGAAAATGTTATTGAAATGAAAGGTTTATTTTTTTTTTATTTCTATACTTTCTGAAGATTCTCTCTAAACATGCCCTTCATAAATATACCGGTAACAAAAACCCAATGACGAACATGATTTTAAAGGGGAACAAATTAACTGAAACCCATGGGCCACGCGATCCCATCCAGTAACAGTTTTTAGGAACCCAACCAGGAAACGGGATTCCACCGGGAAACGGAACCCATCTGGCTCAAGAACTCACCGGAATCGGGATTCCAGCTGCATCAGTTTCCTACCGGGAAACGGTATCACACCAGGGTTATGATGGGAATCACACTGGGAAACGGGTCACTGACGACATTCGAGGAACCCACCGGGATCTGAATACAGTCGGGATCGGAAACCGACCGTTATCTTGATCCAGCCGGTATCAAAATCCCACGGTATCTATATTACACCACGATCGAGATCCCACAGAAATCGTGCACCTACAAGTATCGGGCTTTTATCGGGATCTGGACTAAACCTGAATATGGATCACACCTGGATCTGAATGCCGATACTATCGGGATCCTATTGGGAAACTTAATTCAACAAATAACGGGATAACACCGGCATTTGGATAACACAGGGATCGGTAGAAAACCGAGATCAGAATACCGACGGGATCAGGATCGTACTGGGATTGGGAAGCAACCGGGATCGGAATCCCTTCTGGCCTAGTATCCAATCTAAAAACTCGATCCTACTAAGATGGGATGCCACAGGTATCGGGATTATCTCAGGATCAGGATCCCACTGGGATCAAAATACCAACGGGATTGGAATGCTGACGGGACCGGTATCGGCATATTGTTGCGATGGGGATCCCAATGGGTTCAGAATCCAAGTAGAAAACTACATCATTCTGGGATTGGGATAAAACCGGGATCGGGAGTTGTTGTTTATCCGAATAAATACCGGGAAACCGTATCCGGAAATTTGATCGAAAGAAATTTCGTCGACGGTAAATTGGTCGACTGGTAATATGATCGAACAGAAATTTGGTCGAATCTTCTTTTCAATTTTTACGTAACAACTTTGCATCAAATTTCTTTTTGAACGAATTATTTTGTTTTACTAAATAGTATAGTGCGTTCAAAAAGAAATTTGACGAAAATTTCAACGTGCGAACGGAAAAAAAGATTCGACCAAATTTCCGTTCGATCAAATTACCGTCAATCAATTTACCGTCGACGAAATTTCTTACGATCAAATTTCCGGTAACCCCGGGAAACACCTGGTATATTTGCTGGTATTTACGTGCAGTTTTATGACCGAAATGTGTTAAAAGTGTATATTTATTGACAGATGGAAAATAAAGTTCAAGAATGGGAAAATAAACCTAGAAACTCACAGGTCACCTTTAAGAAACTGTCGATCACTATCCAACAAGCTATCACTCACGTTATGTCAAAGGCAATACACTTTACAGGTACACTTTAAAAAATATACTTTTATTTATGTTTTTAAATATATAATTGTTTGCGGACTTAAAATTTAAAAAGCAATATTTTTATTTTTTAAAATCAATTTTGTAACACAAATATATACATAAAATATTTCGATATACAGAAGTTTTTATTGCATGTGTCTATACATTAAAATAATGTATGTGAATGATTGAATAATTAGACAAATGTCGCATAGTGCATCACGTATAAGTTTTTAAAAAAGACTAAAAAACATTTCAATTTAAGAAATCCTGCAATGAATATCTGTTTTAAATTTAAGTTTATAATTTCAATTTTATTTTGAACTAAACATCCATAAAATACATATTGAAAGGTACGCAGTTTATTTACCAAATTACTCATACTCACAAACTTTGCTTGTCACTATTTAAGGTGTGGATGATGAAGCTACAAGTGATGCGACGTTTGTCACTACACAAAGAGAAACTACAATTAATGAGCCCAACATATGCAGAGATGAAGCAGGATCACAAGAACAATGTGGTATTTATGGTTGTTACGCACTGGCTTCTTATATGAGAAATTAATATCCTATTTTAATTTTATTGGCTCGTTGTAAACAGTGCTTAACGAAGGACGATACCATAGAGTCAACAGAATTAAAGATACGGCACCCAAAACTGTTTCTAGTTACAATTAATAAGATTTATTAAGTCTTAATATGATAACAAAATAAAATAAAATATAATGACAATCTTCAACTTACACTATGGTAGATCTTTTACCGGTACACAGTTAACACAGTTCGTAGAATGTGCCGAATGAATAATAATTAAATGCGAAATAAACACATATATAAGAACAAAAAGAATAATACACGTCTCGGGAAGTTAATAAACCTATCTGAAACTCCGTCCCTTCGCCCGTGCCTTTCAATCCCTTATATATGTCGCATAAGCCCTGCCTTCCAGAAAAGACTTATGACCTGTTGTTTACATATCTCGGGTTATCGAGCACATTGGAGAAAATACCAGGAGACAGTCTTACAAGTTTAATTAGAAAGGCGGTAGTCAACAAGATCCATCAAACTAATAGGCCACGCACACAACAAACCACTAACGTCTGCTAGGGATGTAATTTGGGTCAAGCAAAATTCAAGCACGGGGACATCGTGTAAAATGTTATACATAACAATGGTATACCCAACAAAATTTAACAGGAACTTAGAAATGGGTTTGTCTTACAAATATATTCAAAGTTTCACTATTGCATGTTAAAAGATATAAAATTAATAAAAATTTCTAAAATATATTTTCTTTCTGACAGCGCTGATAAAACGATTGTTTATTTGGTTTGTACGTGCATTCATTTTAAGTTATTAGGCATTGGAGCTAAAAATAGCATACATTAGATTGCTCCTTAAGAGCTGAATAATCATAAACATGGAGTTAGATAACTGTTATTAAATGATTTTCTTAATGAATTTATTTTTTCAATCGTTAATTGTGACTAAAAAAATTACTTCATATTTCTAGCATTTTACATCTTGAAGTTCCTCATCTTCATACTCACTGTTTGGTTTTATTTTAACATATTTTTCTTTGCTAGTTCTATAGCTTTAGTAAAGGTTATCTAACTTAAACCTAACACACGTATAAAAAGTGTAAAAATACACCAAATGAAAGCAAAAGCTTTTAATCTAATTACTTATATATTTCTTTTTTGACACTTTCATTTTTGATTCGAAAGGAGCTGATAGTGTTAAAATGAAAATATCAATGCTAGAAGACGTATTTGTTTCTATGGACAGAAGAATTCAGGATATGCATCTAAAACAAGATAATGTTGATGTTAAATTCAAACACTTCTTAACTCAACACGAAGCTTTGAATAGAAAGCTGGACATGGTCGAAGAAAATAGTTTAAATTATAAGAAAGGTCTTCAACATAACATCAAAGAGCAGTCAGATAAATTCATGGCTATGTCAACATCTCTTCAAAATAAAATCACGGAGCAGTCAGATAAAATCACTGCTTTTTCAACATCTCTTCAAAATAAAATCACGGAGCAGTCAGATAAAATCACTGCTTTTTCAACATCTCTTCAAAATAACATCACGGAACACTCAGATAAATTCGTTGCTATTTCATCTGCTCTTCAACAATTGGAGGAAAACGGCAATGCCAGAATTGAAAAAGTTGAACATGAAAAAAAAACCGACACTGAGTCAACAGAAGTCACGAGTACAAAATATAGTTCGATCGCACCATGTATAAATGATTCTGTCAGGTCTATTGCAGTCTTGTCCAAAAGAACTCAGTTTTTAGAGCAGAAATTTCAAGATGTTCTGGAAGAGATGAAAAAACTGTCAGCTGCTATCAATATTTCATCAGCACAGGCTACAGTGACACTAACTGAAAACAGTAAAATAGAAAATGTAAGTACATTATTTTTTATACTAGAAATGAGCTCGTAATAGACAAGCTTAAACAAAAGTATATATTGATGTTTTATTATGAGATTGAAAAAAAAATGGAAAAAAAATACATTAAATTAGAAGCTAACTTCATTATACGATTTTTATTTTGAAAGAAAATCTCACAGAAAAAAATAATCTTGACCAATTCTCTTTTTTTTTCATTCAGTGTTCAAATTGGTCCCTATCATTTTCGTTTTTTTGTTGTTGTTTTTTTGAATGTTTAAGACGGTCCCAAACTCTTTCCGTTAATGTTCAAGCTAGTCCCAGTCTATATCTTTCAATTAATGTTTTAGGTGGTCATATGCTGCTTCTTTCAGTTAATGATCAAGGTGATTTTAGAGACAAAAAATAACTTTAAATAGTTATTTTATCGTTTAATAAAACTAACATACATGAACAAATGTAAACATTATTATTTCAATATTAGCGTATTTTGTTAAAGAGATATTATTTTTTTTTAAAAGAAAGTTGGTCTACATTCAACAGTTGACGTAACCTAAACATTCGTGTTTTGTTTTGACTTTCATACGTTATCTATATACTATAAACTCCTCCTCTCATTTGGAATATTACATCTGAGTTCGTATCATTGGATGAAAATTAGATAGCTTTATATAAACATAAGAAACGAAAACGGACACCTTTAACATCACTCTAACATTATATCATTCAGTAAAAATAGCTATAAAAAAAGTACTGTCCTGCGTATTCAATAATTTTTATTATAAGCCTCATATAAGGATTCTTACCAGTTGTGTGACGTTGCGTTACTAAATGCTGATTTAGGGTTAAATTTTAAAAAAAAATCCTCTTTTCTTCATTTCACACACGTATCCACTTAATAAAGTTGGTAATATTAATTAATAAGGAACCGAAACACTTATAACAAAAAACGCAATATATACACGCAGATTAAGCAGTGATAATTCAAAGGCACTATTTTGTGAAATCACATAGAAGAAGTATATTTTAATATGCATCAAACAATGAAGTGCCATACATGTTCATTTGAGGTTATTAAAAAATTTTACACGAACGTTAACTTAAATTGGTCTATTAAGACAATTTGAAAATATTTGAAGAGTTCATTTTCAAAATGCTGTATCTCCATATTTGTTGTTATGAGATATGACTTTTTCTGCTACACAATGACGGCTGAAAGTTTCGGAAAAGTAAGTGTTAATTTAGGTACATATTGTAAGGAAACCTTGTTCGAAATGGTTATGAGCAGCCGACTGGGTATAACCCTGAGAGTTAAACGCAGCCGGCAAGTCACGTGAGGTCTATATGAGTCCTGTGTTACAGTATCGATTGATAAAGATGCTTCGTTTTCAGGGTGACTGGATGGTCGAATGGTATAAACTGAGCAAACCTCAAGTTGGTGGACTTGAGTTTAATTCCAGCCGGGAATACGTGTCAGTTCATTATGTTTGTCCTTGAGAATGAAGCAAAAATAGCTAGGCTTATTGTTTTATTTTGTTTTGGATAAAAAATGTTAAACATGATCAGAATTATTAACCTGACCAATGTAATGTTAATTATGTTATTCTTATAATTATCAATTATATGTTTGTGTTGTTAACATATATTTTGTGTTGTTAACATATATTTGTATTGTGTACTAATTTTGTGGCAGATAAAATCATGTTTCTCTGATACAGTAATAAATATAATCAGGGTTGGAGAGTAGCAGTAAAAAGATAGCTGTAGGGGCAGGGGGTTCTGTAGAGGGGGCACTGTATGTAATACTTTCACACAGTTATAGTTTTGCATGGAAGCTGAAAACTGTTATATTTAGTTCCCCCCCAAAAAAAAATCATAAATGATATTTTTAAAAAAAATAAATAAATAGAATGTATTTCCTGAATTAGTCAGTAAAACCAACCACAAGGTCATAGCAACATATAAAAACCTAATCAATCAGAATACAAAACTAGACTTAGACTATGGAAATGCCTTTAAAAAAATCATCTTCGTAGGCTTAGACTCTAAGAAATGTAGACTTTGACTTCGACATATAATTATAATATATAAGATACAAGCAATAAAACTAATAATAGAACTAATACTAATACTATTACTATCATTCAATATTAATTGAAATTAATTCAATTAAAATGTTACGTTAAACACATTCAAAGTTCTAATTCAAAACAACCCATCATGCGGCTCATTATGAATAATAATTTTTTTTTAATTGCCAAACTAGGGGTAATAAACCTTTTTTGGCTAAATTTCCAGTCGACTGCGTATAACTCGCAGGGTTCAACCATGTTTGTTCTCTGCTAAACCTCCAATCTATATCTGGTATTCACTAAGGAAGCAACTCAGGCGATAACAGTTTCTTGGTTATTATCTTGTTCTTTTATTGAGCTGATACTTTGCTTACACTTTCTCTCCGCCTCACACTCTGACAGTCCTCTACTCCTACCGTCGGAGCTCTCCCTGACTGTCTGCTTCTCTGTCCGGCTGAGTTCTGCTTAGTCCTGTCTAAAGGTCCCTATTTTTAAGTCCCTGAAGTAGTCGCTGCGTCAATAGAGCCCCCCCCCCACGTTGCGTTAATCTTTAGCTACATCTTTGGCACTAGAATCTCATCTAACTCCTCTCGCCATTTAAATGGACATTAACTGACCACCGGACTCACATAATAGCCTCGTTACCATGTTATCTGCCAAGCGACAACAATTGGTCGGTTAGTCAGCCTCCGGCAGGTCTGGGCTGACACTAAAATCTGTTCCAACGCCCCTTTCCGTTTAATTGGCCATTACCCAACCACAAGAAGCGTTCACAATAACGTCGTCACGGTGTTATAGCTACACCCGCTGGTCTGTTGGTCGGTTACCCTCATTGTGAGATTCCCCAACCCTTGTCGCACACAGGTTCGAACTCTCCACACTACCACCATCTTACAAAACAATGTCGTCCCGATATTTCGTCACTACTGTTACATAACTGGTCTCTAAATGGCTTTAAGTGACTTGGACCATCAGCCTTCATTTAAAAGCAGCTCACAGAAATGCACGCGATGTCATCACATTGTGGTCCTAGTGCGCCTCCCTTAATGTAAATCCTACGCGTATCTCTCCCCTTGAAGACAATAATTGAGTTAACGGTCACCTCAGTCACTGACTCCTAACACTCCTAGTCAAGGTCAGAGCCAGTTTTGGGTCACAGTCAGAGCGCCTCTTACACTCACACAATCAGAGAATTTTGATCAAACATAGTTCAGCTGAAAAGGAAATAATGCAACATTTTTAAAAAAATCAAAAAAAGTATAACATTTGGAAAATCAATTAACAGGAAGTACTACACTATGACATCAAGTTGAAAACTCAATTATCCAGCAAAAAAAATTTTTAAAAATCGTTATGAAAACATGACAAGTATAATTCCAGAGCACTCTAAAGTTCCAATGCAAGGAAGCTAAGTGCTTTCACAAAACGCCTTAAACTATTTCAAACTGTACTGTTAAACGTCATAAAAAAAGGTCACCATAGGAGCATTTTACATTAAAAAAAAACAATACTTTACTCAAATAACAATAATCATGACACGATTAAGTCATCTATTTGTACATTGAGCAAACCATCAACTTCAATGTTTCGAGAAAAATATGACAACATAAATTCACTATAAATCTATTCTTTTAAAAAAAATGAAATTAATCCCATAAAATGAATCCAAGTATCTTCACTGTCATCAACACTCATCTTAGGTAACTCAAACCCTTCAATATCAAAGTTAGACAATTTCACCCCCCCAAAAAATCTATAAATTAGCATCAAACATCAAATACTACCAAAAAATCGTAATGCATTAACGGCGTTTATCCAAACAAAATTTCAAGCAACACGACAAAAATTATTAGAGCACTTTACTTCACTTACTTTTATGTCTATTTAAAAGACGGTCATGCAATAAAATCAATTAAAACATTTAATATTTGAGAAAACTGTCAGTGTCACATGCACATCTTCCTGGAGAACTCGTAAAAACGCCGGAGTGGCAACCATCGGGCCGGTCAGTGTCATAATGTTTCATCTTACTTTTGAACGTCATCCTTCCCTCTCCCTCAACCTCAAATAAATTATGACGTTGCTTTCGGCTAATCACAAGCGGACCACGCCAGTTATTAGTGCTCATAATCTGGTTTCAACTCACTTTGTGTGCATACTGGACAACGTCATCCACTTTGAAAGGGCAGTTTACTGCTCTGGCGTTGGGCTAACTTTTCTATCTCTTTACTGTTCTATCCCGAGTTATCTCCCTTTTCTCATACTTGGAATTTACCTCACCACACACGTGTACTGATTTATTTCCCACATTCCCGGGCTTTGTCGACGGCGAGGCCATCTCAGGACGGCGTAACACTTGAGTGTGGACAGGGGCCATGCGTGTCCCTTGTCTTTACCTGGACGCAGTGTTTTGTTGTGTGTAGGGACCGTGTTCACTCTCACACTGGCTGGTGCTGGTAACTGGTTATTGTTAACACGTGTTGATGGGCTAAAAAAATTCTTATCCTCTTTAGCATGTAATGGGCGCATTGTGACAGCCCAAGCTCAGACCTTGGCGACTGAAAAGGAAAAAATCTTAATGGCCCAAAAAGTTAAACCCGAGATAACCATCTTCTATAATATTTGCCACATATATTGTCCAGGGATACACTTTATCTACAATCAAGAAATTTACTTCACTCACCCCATATAGATTCATTGGTGCTCCAGTAGCTGTCTGCAGCTTCACAGGTGAGAGATGAATCTTACGTCGCTGCCGTCGTGGAATTTCAAAAAATAGTTTCTTTGAAATAACGGTCACAGCTGAACCCGTCCATTTGAAACTCCGCCCTAACACAACACACTGTAACAGGCACAAACACAGCACTAGGACGAATGTTTGGACCATTCCATGAAATGTGATTCAATTTTAGCCGATCAGGAATTTCGCCTCCTAAGCTACTG